GTGAAAAATGAATCACTATTTTCTTTCACTGAGCGATGCTTGGTCTTAAGACAGGGTGGCCATCTTTACATAGCATTTCTTATTCTTTCCGTAATAGAAATTCTCTAGTCAAAAGAATTGTAGGTGTCACACCCCAAATCCTATAGGAATAGAGGTAGTGACACAACCGTCCTTCCTCTCGAAAGACATAGCCTCAAACCCTACCAAAAAATAATCAGATCCCAAAAGTCCACATCAAAAGCATTCTCGAACTATTGGTCACTAACCATAAACCTAAAAAACATGAAAGATGAAACGAATGAGCTACCACGGCCCAATGAGTAATACGTTTCTTTCAAACGGATTGAACAATCACTATGTATCATTACAAAACGATATCAATCTCATCATCTCAAATTCAATATATGATATACGTAAAATATCGAAAATGTACGATAACTTTCCAACAAAACTCTATACGTACAAGATTAGTCATCAAAACCTACTCAATAATAACAAATAATAATCAATGGTCTATTCTATTGATTAATCTCATCAATCACACGTCGATGGTCCATTCTATCGACTAATCTTATGGTCATCATCGAACTATGGTCACGTTTAACGCTGTGACAAAGGCAACTAAGTTTACCCCCCTTGTTTAGGTCTATCACCTATATCAACCGGTGGTTCGGCCCAAAAGAACATTTTAACAGTATGCATACTCTCCCCTCAATGGGTTCTTATCATAGTGATGTGAGCAGTATCGACCAATAACTTTCTCCAACAATCCACAATCAACACCAAAAAGCCATTTCATAAACCGATTTTATGACCCAAATCACATAAACTTTCACAATTCTATTTATCAATTAAAATGCTTTTATAATCAATACGAACTACTTTTGGAAATTCCTTTCACTAAACATTTAACCAAAGCATTCACAATTGGTCATTTTATATCACTTCATAAAATATTCTCAATCTCTTTTCAATCGACTAAAAAGATAGTAAAAGTTTGATCCAATTTATGTAAGAAACATGCTCTTGATAACTCATACTATATTAAAACTCTACCATTTTCAAGACATGAGTTTGTAAATTCATGGAAGAAATAGTACCACTCACCTGTGAAAGCCGAAAACCAATATACGATGGTTAATCGAGCCGATGCACTCGAATTTCTATCAATTAATTGAAAAGCGATGTTAAAATCTGAGTAAAACACTACTCCAACAAGCAACTCGACTAAACCACGCTCAACCGTCAACGAATTGACTCCTAAGCACTAACTAGAAAGCTCGTTTATAACAAACGTTCGTCTTTCTCCGTTACGCATATTATCTATTACGCGTAACTCGTACGTGAAACTTCGGAATTTCATTCCAAACAAACCAAACTTCAAAATCGAGTTTCGTCAAGCGCCACCGCTCCGCGATGCACTAGGCTACCATTTCCACAAGAATCGCAGCTCAAAAACTCCTCAATCAAACCGCGTAGTTCAAAATCTACACGACTCCCATTTTAAGACCTAACTTCCAAAATTACTCCGATCAGACGAATAATCGATTCGAATACTTATCCGACATTGCAATACGCAGTTGATTCGGCTTGCTGGGGTGTCCGGATCACGAAATTTCTCTCTCCTCTCTTCCTTCCCTCTTTCCTTCTTCGCGGTCGCCCGTCTTCTTCTTTCTACGTTTATTCCACCGCTTCAGGTCTTCTTTTCCTTCTTCACGTATCCAACGCACAATTATGTTTGATAAGGAAGGAAAATGGGCTGGGCTTTGAAACATGGGCTGGGCTGACCCATATATTACGGTAGTAATGGCTTTGATGTATCTCAAAACAAACGCAGACAATATGGCTTGCCATCTAACAAATATATGCTTGGAAGAGAAGTCCCCCAAACCCAAAGCTAACAATTAATATCTAACCTTGTTGATTTTAAAAGCAATTAGCAACTAGTTTGATACAAAGCGTGTAAGTTCATCCTGCCGTAACTCTGCTCTCTTTACACTTTAGGACAGGATTTTCTTACTCTCCAGGCAGCAACCGTCTCCTGACTAACATTTCCTACTGTCCGTAAAGCAGACATTGGCTGCTATCTGTTGACCTGCATTCTAATGCAGGATTTGCCAAAATCTGCAATTGCCTGGGGTTTACCCAAGTGAAACAACAAAAGCTCCATGTGCTCAGCTGGCAACCCACAGTGACCATGATTGCATCCATCCATGTATCCTAATCCAGGCAAGAATTTCGCCCCTCTATCGTTTTAGAGAAACTTATTCGGGATAGTCATTATTAATTGCGATTCATTATTTTTTGTTTCTAATAACAACCATATCCAGTCACGGGTATTGTTCAGATTAAGCTAATTTCCAAATCTATTTATTTTTGGGTTAATACCACGAAAAATCCCGAACCGGTACATCTGTGACAAATTTAATCCAAATTAATTTTTTTATCACCAAAAATCCCAAATTTGTACACCTGTGACAAATGTATCAGTTTTGGGTTTTACCCATTGTTTGTCAAAAGTGTATCGGTTTGTGATTTTTATGGTATTAATACAATTTAACGGAAACTAACGGAGGGTAAATTTGTCACAAATGTATAGTTTGGGGTTTTTGACGGTCAAAAAATTAGTTTATGGTAAATTTGTCACAGATGTACCATTTTTGGGTTTTTCATAATATTAACCCTTCATTTTTTACCAAAATCGGGGATGTAAGCTAGAGGTTACTCAAAGTCAACTTGATTCTTCTCGAATTTGACTAAGAAACACATTTCGAGTTCTAAAATATTTTACTCGAGTAGCTCAAAATCCAATAAAAATAATTGATTTTTACATATCATAATTACATATACGGATTGATGAATTCAATGAAGAGCAAAAGATATATACAGATTGATGAATTCAATGAAGAGCCAAAGAGTACCGTTTTTCGATTTTACCGTATTCGAGATTTTGGGTTCAAGCTCAAGAGATCGAATTCAGACCATAATTTACTGGGTAGTAGAGTCGAGCCAAACTGAGCTTAAGGACAAGCTTTTAGGAAGATCAATCATGTTAAGATCAAGCTCGAGTTGAATATTAAGCTTCGCATAAGCGAATCGAGTTGAGTCGAGTCGAGTATCAACTCAACTTGGCTTGATTACACTTACACCCCTGCCATAAGGACGAAATTTTCAGACAGCGCGTTTGAACATATTTAACCATTCTGACCCCCCGAACAAAAACTCACGTCATTCACAGAGCAAAGTCCTTGCACGAGTCAAATCTCGTGCTCGACTCGAATGCATTTTCATTTCGAATCAATAGCATCATCGTTTCGAAGGTTCGCTATGGTGAGCACGACCCAATCAACACCAGACCTAAGAGTTCAAGCACCAAAGATGATGCTAAGCAAAATATCCAGAATGACATACATTAGAGTCAGTTAAATACCATATGCTACGGTTGAGCAAAATTCTGAAGACTTTGCCACGAGCTGCCACATATACAGTACAATCAGGAGAGCTCGGCGGCCACGCTCCACTAGGTCCTGAAGCAACCCGCTCGTTGCGAAGCTCATACAAGACATGTCTTCATCATAATGTGAGAAGTTGCAGAAGCGGATCTCAACAGAAGCAACAGGATTGCGTTTGGCCTCCTTTTTAGTGGCGCACCCACTTCATCGCAGCGCCTCTCCAGAGTTCCAAGAAACGTGCAAAGTGTAAATGCAGCAAAAGGGTTAGGAGTGATGGGACCAAGAAGTCAAACATAGATAAAGCACATTAACGCCAAAAACAATCTGCAAAAGTCAAACCACTGGTTGTGCCTCAACTTTTTCTCTCCAATTGGGAGCGGTGTAAAGTTTGGCAGTCTACACTGAAAGATAAAACAAAAACTGAAAGTGAGGTGATAGGGACACCACCACTATAGTTGGATAAGTTCCATTAGAAAAGAAGGAAAAAGGGTTGACTAATCACTGGGAAAACGAAAAGGATGGATTAACAATATTGAGTAGGACATGATAGAAGAGATATCAGATGAAAGTTCCCAATCCTTCCTCTTTCCTCCACTAAAACAAACCAAACAACATGAGCTGAAAATCACCCCCTTCAATTCCCTTCCTTTTTCTCCGAATCTCTCCAACCAAAGGGCTGTGTACTTGAATAACATGATTGAAGACTGCTACCCCGGAATCTTCACACAGCCAACAAGAACCTCAATCATGAACTCGTCCTTCGGCCGATCATGCTTCAGTGTTCTGCATTTTCTAACCATGTGCTGCAGAAATGTTATGAAAAAGCATCGCAAAGCAACGACACGGATTATAGAGGAAACTTCAAGACTATTCTCTGCGCGAGTGTAGGCACACATGCATCACTCATGACCCACACTGCAGATCCGCACACACCCGCCCACCCCCGCGCAAAGAGAGAGAGAGAGAGAGAGTGTGTGTGTGTGGGGGGGCGAGGGGGGGGTGGTGGCTGCTAACACAATCATGATCTGAATTTCTTGATGAAATACAGGCAATGCATGTCTGCATTTCAGCATTGGACTAATCACATATTGGCATAAAATCTACCCCAGACCAGCAACCAAAAGGAGGAAAAAAATGGAGCGAGAAGGTTCCTTCTATTTCTCACTCTTTCCTTATGTTCAATTCCCTCCTGTTTAGCTATTCTTCGGCAGGATAAGGAACATCATATTGGATAGGCAAACATAATCTCTCAGCTTATTCGAGTCAAAGACCAAGCTTACTCGTGTCAAAAACCATATGGCGATGTCCAGCGGAGTAATGATAACATAAAGGCAGCAATGAAACTACAGGAGCCTGATCTGCAGAGCCCTTGATACAATCTACAGCTGAAAGAGTGTTCACCTTTTACTTAAGATTCATATGCAAAGTAAGCACCTGTATGGGGCGGAATATTATTTGCAATAAAGCAAACACATGAGAAATCATGGGTAACTCCTCAAAAGATGCATGATGAAAGTCAGTACCACTGTCATGTAACACTGTATGGGATATCACAACCCTCATATAACTATGTTAACTGGAACAATACAAAATGCTACAAAACTCGATGGACAAATAATCAAGAGAGATCTCATCAACGTTATTGCAGCAAACCAGCCACCCTAAGCATGTATTACCTATTTATTGGAAGACCCAACATACCATACCTATTATATTACAATGCCCACGCCGAGCCATCAAAATCCCAAAATACGATCGACCAACATCAAGTGCTTTCTGCTGGGGTAAGATGCCCCAATTGTTCTGCTGGGTTATTTACATTCTTCGTACTCCACCAAAACCTGACGTGATCAGCAGGTTTGCTCTCATTCCTTCTACCATCAGTATCCTTTCTTTCTGACTGAACTTCCTGAACGTCGGAGGAACCGGGATTCTCCGTCAAGAATTGCTCCCAGAAGACATCATTAGCACCTGCCGGCACATTAGGAGCTGCAGCTGCTGCTTGTTCTTTGGAGGAAACTGGCTCAGAGGCAACAGTCGAAGCTGGCTCGGAAGTGGTACCCATGGCAGGCTCAAAAACAGTAGCAGTAGCGGGCTCAGAATTCATGTCAATTGTGGGCGATCTAGGCCGTGCATCAATATTAAACTGAATGCAGGATATAGCAGGGCTATCAGCACAACTAGTAGTCTCATCAAAGTCTACGGTTGAGTTGTGCTGCATAATGTTTTCACAATCATGCGCAATGTGTTCCCAGATTGTGAGCGATGATTCCAATTGATCATATAAATCCAGTATCGATGGTAAGGATGAAGCTCCATCAATGTTTTCTCTCATCAAAGTTCGGGGAGACCCAGCATACTTGTCTTCACCATGTCCGTCATCATGAAAGTAACCAATTCGAGGAAATCTCCTCTTCTTATCATTGAACCCCGACTCGATCAACAAATTCAAGGCAAGACCAGGTTTCTGCAGAACATTACCTAAGTTAGACAGCATATTCTTCTGTCGTTCTTCCATTTTCAAAAACCGCTCCTTCAAATTCTGCATCTGCAGTTCAAAGCCCTTCCTCTCTTCTTCATGCATCTGTAGTTCCATCTGAAGTGATTCCTTGTCGCTTTTAAGCCCTTCTACCTCTTCCTTCAGGCTTTGTCTCTCTGCTTCAGTTAAAGGAGAAGAACTTCCCTGATTTTGGAGATTCTGAAGGGAATGGCTGTGGACTGGTTTCCGCCGATGGATGTTCTTCAGAAGATGCGGCTGACCTCTTATAAATTCCTCGTTCGCAAATTCCCATCGTTCTGGGTCAATCTTCCTAAAACCCTGTCCAAAGGTGAAATGCACATTTATTGCAAGTTATGCGAATGCATGATCACTTCCTAGAAAGCCAAATCATATCGGAAGACGAGAGCAAGCAGAAACGTAAGTAGAAAGGTCTCAGCTTACATATGTGTTCAGCTGTCTAATAAAGCTGGAAAAATTGTTGTGCTTGAAGTATCTCGGCAGCAAATCCCGTGCGAACTCCGGTGGATTCCACACAATGAAGCTCTTGCTGGTTTGACTCCACGAAACCACCGGGTCAGAGGAGGGGTCATCGACCATCTCGTACGTCTTCATCAGGAAAGGTGGCAGCGAATTCGAGCCGCTCGGCGATTCGTCCATTTCAAATTTCGCCACCACTCTCAAGATCAGAACTACCCAACAATTCAAGCTTCCAAACAAAAACCCACCTTCTGCTCTTCCACCGAAACTCTCAGTCACACCGTCTTGCACAAGAACCCAAACCCAGATAACGAATCTGCACCCGGGAATCTCTAATTTAACTTTCAATCGAAAAACCCCCAGATACACACAACTACAGCACACCACACCACCCCCTCAAGCAAAACAACATGAAATGCTCAAATTCCCAAACAACCCAAAGCCTCAATGAATCAGCCTGAAGGGAGCCCCAAACATTGCCCACTTCGAACAAACTCCACACCCCTCTTAAAATACCAGAACCCTCCACCAAAATCGCAAGAGAATTGAGCCGAAGATGCCACGCGCGAAGCCCCAAGATTCAATGAAAGTGAAACCCTTCTCGAAGCACACGCAATTACGTCAAGATTGGATCAGACTTTTACAAGAACATCCAGAATCCTCCCCCTCCCATTCGAAGCTTTCAGAAGGAGCACCCCCACCTTCTTTCGCGAAACCCACAAGAAACTGCAGCCGCAGGAACCCCCAACAGTACACCCCCCCCTTGTATTCACGTACACATACCTGTCCACATATACATCAAAAAAGAAAACAAAAAACACGCACGGAACAGTACGCCTCTGTTATCGGTTGGGAAAAAATCAAAACCTTCGACATGGGTCGATGAAGTCGCCGCGAGTGCCCCAAAATTCAACCGGCAAACAAAAGATTTAACAAGAACCCATTTCTTTTTTATCAAAAAAGAAAACAAGAAAAGCAGGAGAAAACGATGGGGGGGGATGCAAAAGACTTGCCGCAAAAGCAAAGCGGATATCATCAGCATCCAAGAAATCGAAATTTGGACAAAACGGGGGCGAAAGTCACCTTTCGCCTTCGCAGATGTTTTCGCACGTCCCGCGACAAGATGACCCGACCGCGACCCACGAACGGGAGCAAGAACGAGGAAGCTGCGTGGAGGGGGCAGAGGTGGGAGGAAGGTTGGAGAGAATCCAACAGGGTGCGCGTCCCGCTAATTTAAATTTTTTTTCCCTTTAAACTTTTTCGTGTGCTTTTTTGGGCCATTTTCTTTCGTTTTTTATAGCAAAAGAAAATTCGGTAATCTTTGGGATTCTTGCCCTTTTATGGAACGAAACCGGTCAATCGATTTATAGATAATTTTGGGTATCGAATTTGGGGCGGCTTTGCTGGACAACTCAACCGAATAATAACAATGGGATTTTTTCGAAGAGCGAGGAATTAAAAAAAATGTAGTTAAATAAAAAAAATTCGTGTAAGCTTTGGAAAATAATAATTATGCGTACTTAAAGATAAGGTTGCGCATGGAAATTGCCCCAAAAATGGTCATTTACAAAAAAGAAATATTCCGTGTCTCGATTGCTCGCTCTATTTGTCTTTTTCTCACTCGCGATATGAATAAAAGAAAAAACCCATCTTTTATGCATTTTCTCGCGATAATTTCTTTTTAGGGATACGGGGAGTTGCACTTCGAGGGTTTAAATAGTGGTAAGCATCGGATCCGGACCAAATCGGACAGGATTCATCGGTTCAAGGTCGGGTTTAGGGAAAACTTGTTCAGTTCCCCACTTCGCAGGCCTAGATTCGGCCTAAACTGATTTTAATTTCCACTTCCAAGGTTAGAACCGTCGGTTCCCCTTAGGAATCGATTTCACCTATCCGATATTCAAGCTGAACTGATTTTGAATCTTCTTTCGAAAAAAAGAAACTTTTCCACCAATCATAAAACGGGCCGGTTTATAGTGAAATTGAACCAACAAATGTTTTCTATAGTGAAATTGTGCAATTTTTATATTTTATTATAGAATTTGTTTTTTTACCCAAAACATAAAACGGGCCGGTTTCCTAGTAGAGCCGGATCAGTTCGCTTCTCGATCCCAATATTTTGAAACCGACTCGCCCCAAAATCAATCACCGAAAGTTACATAACTCGTGTGCGTACGGATGGATTTAAGGACCGCAAATATGGCACAATCACATTAAAAAGAACCACCTACTTCTTAAGGTCAAAACTGAGAGAGGGTCAACCTAATTCTCCTTCTTTATTTAAACCTCACGACACCTCATTGGAAGTGCCAATTCTAGCCATTGACAATGAAGTGGCCAGATATCATCGAACGCGAAATTTGGACCGTCTCAACTCGATCATCTCCAAGCCACACAAAACCTCAAAGCTGTGGACGATATCTCGCCAGATTGGAAATGGAAAATCAAGATAAAAACAAAGGGGAGGCATTACCCACCCACGGGTACAGGCTCGGTTAGTTATGACGTTTGGGATTGTGCTACAGGTTAAGACGCATTCCCCAAGGGTTATTCCCCACCGTGACTTCATGATTTAAGCTGGGGCCATGGCGGTGGGTTCTTTGCTAGTCTCCCGAGGAATAATCAGGGATGCCACGCAGTTCTACTTCCTGACACCTCGATTACCAAAAAAAAAAAAAAAAAAAACAAAGGGGAGGCATTGACTAATCTTGCAATTGCTTCGTCAGGTCGGCGTTCATATAAGTATTGAGGGGGGGGCAAGTATGATATCGTTTTTGTGTACGTCCCGTTTTGATTGTGATGTGTTTAGGTGGGAGCTATCGACGGAGACAGAGTCCCAGAGCCATATCCTATTGACATTATCCTCGTCCTCTCCCTGTCACGGTGAGAAAAGAAGAAGAAGAAGAAAAGCAGAAAGAAAGGGTATTCTCTGTGGTTCACAAAATTTCTGAATATCATATGTGCATTATTTATCGTGATCGTCGTCATCATAATTACCTATACCAATAGATAAAAAGGTTGACACCATGTAAAACTTCAAATCGGTATATTTATGATAAATTTACCTCAAATTAATTTTTTGATCACCAAAAATCCTAAACTAGTATATTTATGATAAATTTGCCCTCCGTTAGTTTTCCGTTAAATTGAATCAATATCACAAAAAATCACAAACTAGTACGCATATGACAAATGGAGGGCGAAACGTCAAATTGGTGCACTAGTTAACTGCAACGTGTCATCCAATTCAATAATTTAACAGTAAAATTTAATGGAACTTAACGGAAGGTAAATTTATCACGGGTGTACCGATTTGAGGTTTTTCGAGATATTAACCATGAATAAAAATGAGCGGCTTTTTCTACTTTCAAGAATCTCAATCTATGACTTTTCTTTTCTTTTCCTTTATTTAATCTACGTAGAATTTTTTTTAATATTTTTAATTATACAAATAATGACCCTTACAGGGTAAACTTCAAATCGCGAATTATATTTCTCTCCATATTGCGTCGATAATTTCTCTTTTATCAGCTAATAATTTCAATCGGCGTAACGGTAGCGGAACGTTCGCCTAAAGGGCTTCGCCTGTGATTTTAATATTTCAAACGATAATCACGATTAATTAAATAAATCGTGAATTGAGATAAAAAAAAAAACAACACAAAGATGTTCGCGCGACATGAAAAGATTCTTAAAGTACTCTTTTACCGTCTGGTGCGAGCGTGACGCACGGGCTTATGTGTCGCGGAGTTTTGGCGCTAGTGTGCTTGGATTTGTTTAATTAAGAATGACAGCTTCCAAGAAAGACGGCAATAACGATTAACAATAATAATGATTATTATTAATATTATAATATTAATATTGATAATTATAATAATAATGATGTTGATAATAACGAGTGGGACGTATCTTCCAACAGGCTCTCTACACGTGGTGTCCGAAGAAGATGCCGCTTCCTCTCGAGAAATGGTTTTTTCAGAGGGAATTATTCTATGTTTAGTCGGGCCGCTTAAGGCCTGCTGATTCCATGTTTGTTTTAGGGACGTGTGCACCGAAAGTTAAGTGAAATCAAGTTTTAGAATTTGTTAAATTTGATGTAATTGAATCTTTTTGTCAACTCTGTCAAATTTGAATGACGAAAAATGCCGACGTCACTTTTGTATTATTATTCTCCATCTCCTACGTGACGATGACGTGACTAAAACATGAAATAAAAGGCTACAACGACGTCGTTTTGGCTAAAATCAGATTTTTTATACAAATTTTATTTGAATTAAATTTAAAAATAAGCTAAATTAAAAAGAGAGAGGAAAAATGGTTGAGAACTAGGCGGTGAGGGTGGGGGATATCCGGCGAGGTCGCCGGCCACTAATTAAATGAAATTCGTATTAAAACTCATATTTGGACAAAAACAACGTCGTTGTAACCACATCATTGCTATGTATAAGAGAAAAAATATTTAAAAAAGTTACGTCAGCATTTTCTGTCAATCAAGTTGGACGGAGTTGACGGAAGGATTCGATTGCATCAATTTGGCAAATTTAAAATTTAAATAAAACTCATATTAAAAATCATATTTGGACAAAAACGAGGTTGTTTTAGCCACATCATTGTCATGTATGAAAGAGAAAATATTCAAAAAAGCTACGTTAGCATTTTCCGTCAACTCTCCATCAATCAAGTTGGACGGAGTTGACAGAATGAATCGATTGCACCAATTTGATAAGTTTTAGGGCTTGATTGGACTTTGTTTTAAAAGCACTTTCGTAATAAATTTTAGGACTTCCAGTGTATGTATTTGTTGCTTGGTCGGTCCTCTTGATGAAGGTGAAGCATGGGTGCAAAACGAGAGTGTTTCGAACGCTATTGGCAGGCAACAGGCATTCTTAATTCCCATGACCGAGCATGGTGCTTGAGGTAATGTGGCCTTCAATCTGAGAATGACTTCTTCATCTTCCTGGAGATTTGCCTTGCTGCTGTAACGATCTGATATGCTCCAAAAGGCCTCCTATGGCCGTGGGAGTGGGTCAAAGCAAATACCCAGGATCAGGATGGCTATCTGGAAAGGGTCTGTTGATCATTAAATTTTGGAGACCTGTTCTGAACTATTGCAGCTAATTCAATGGAAGGGTTCCAACAGGGCAAGGTGGTAGATGTTGATTTGAGGTTGTCCACTTCACCTTGAGAGAGAGAGAGAGAGGAACACTGGATCCAAGAGAAATTATGAACCTCGAAAACAAAAAAATCATAGCCTTACCCATTTATAGAAGGGATAATGACATAAACGATTCCTAAATTTTGCTCAATGTGAGATATGATCCCTGAACTTTAAATTAGTTCAACATGAACCCTGAACTTTAGCCCAATGTGCAATGTGGTCACTGAACTTTTAATTTATTCAATGTAATCTCCAGATTTTTGGAACGTGTTCAATTTAGTCATTAGACTGTATGAAAATGTTCAATATCGTACTTCCATTAAAACAAGTTTACGGACAATATTGAATATTTTCATACAATTCAGGGACTAAATTGAATATGTATCAAAAGTTCATAAATCACATTGAATAAATTAAAAGTTCAGGAATGACATTGCATATTGGATTAAAGTTCATAGACAATATTAAACAAATATAAAGTTTAGGGACCACATTGCATATTACGCTAAAGTTCAAAAATCATTTGTGTCATTTACCCTTTACGAAATATTTTGAAGAACTGAACACGAG